TTAATTAGGTATCATTATAATTTACCGGTTATACCTGGATAGGGTTTCCGGCGTCAGCGCGCCTACGGCCCGGTCTGTGACCAGGCCTCATAGTTGATCAGGGCCTGATCAACCAAGCTGTTGCTGTTGGCCGCACGCAAACCGACGTACGAACCACAGCCCGGCCGGTCAGGTACTGACTAGGTATCTGTCCAGCACCTTGAACACATCCAGGGGTCTTGAAGAGAACCAGGAATCTTGAAGACAGCCAGGGATCTATTGGTAATCCCCCTTATGTATGCTGGGAGGCAGTTGAACAGTCTCGGGCCCCTGACACTTATTGTATGGTCTCTTAACGTGCTAGTGACACCCCTGCTTTTCACTGGGGGGATGGTGCATCGTCTGCCAAGTCTTTTGCTTTCATAAGGAGTGATTTTCGTGTGCAAGTTCGGTACTAGTCCCTCTAGGATTTTCCAGGTGTATATAATCATGTATCTCTCCCGCCTGCGTTCCAGGGAATACAGGTTTAGGAACCTCAAGCGCTCCCAGTAATTGAGGTGTTTTATCTCCGTTATGCGCGCCGTGAAAGTTCTCTGTACATTTTCTAGGTCGGCAATTTCACCTGCCTTGAAAGGTGCTGTTAGTGTGCAGCAATATTCCAGCCTAGATAGAACAAGTGACCTGAAGAGTGTCATCATGGACTTGGCCTCCCTAGTTTTGAAGGTTCTCATTATCCATCCTGTCATTTTTCTAGCAGATGCGCATGATACAATGTTATGGTCCTTGAAGGTGAGATCCTCCGACATGATCACTCCCAGGTCTTTGACGTTGGTGTTTCGCTCTATTTTGTGGCCAGAATTTGTTTTGTACTCTGATGAAGATTTAATTTCCTCGTGTTTACCATATCTGAGTAATTGAAATTTCTCATCGTTGAACTTCATATTGTTTTCTGCAGCCCACTGAAAGATTTGGTTGATGTCCGCCTGGACCCTTGCAGTGTCTGCAATGGAAGACACTGTACCTTGTGGAACACTGGTAGCCAGTACTGTACCTTGTGGAACACTGGTAGCCAGTACTGTACCTTGTGGAACACTGGTAGCCAGTACTGTACCTTGTGGAACACTGGTAGCCAGTACTGTACCTTGTGGAACACTGGTAGCCAGTACTGTACCTTGTGTAACACTGGTAGCCAGTACTGTACCTTGTGGAACACTGGTAGCCAGTACTGTACCTTGTGGAACACTGGTAGCCAGTACTGTACCTTGTGGAACACTGGTAGCCAGTACTGTACCTTGTGGAACACTGGTAGCCAGTACTGTACCTTGTGGAACACTGGTAGCCAGTACTGTACCTTGTGGAACACTGGTAGCCAGTACTGTACCTTGTGGAACACTGGTAGCCAGTACTGTACCTTGTGGAACACTGGTAGCCAGTACTGTACCTTGTGGAACACTGGTAGCCAGTACTGTACCTTGTGGAACACTGGTAGCCAGTACTGTACCTTGTGGAACACTGGTAGCCAGTACTGTACCTTGTGGAACACTGGTAGCCAGTACTGTACCTTGTGGAACACTGGTAGCCAGTACTGTACCTTGTGGAACACTGGTAGCCAGTACTGTACCTTGTGGAACACTGGTAGCCAGTACTGTACCTTGTGGAACACTGGTAGCCAGTACTGTACCTTGTGGAACACTGGTAGCCAGTACTGTACCTTGTGGAACACTGGTAGCCAGTACTGTACCTTGTGGAACACTGGTAGCCAGTACTGTACCTTGTGGAACACTGGTAGCCATACTGTACCTTGTGGAACAGAGCTTTTCACCGTAGCCGCCTCAGACTTTATTTACTACTCTGTTGTATTTGTCAGGAAGTTATAGATCCATCTACCAACTTTTCCTGTTATTCCTTTATCACACATTTTGTGTGCTATTACACCATGGTCACACTTGTCGAGGCTTTCACAAAGTCTGTGTATAATACATCTGTGTTTTGTTTATCCCCTGAGGCCTGGTCACAGACCGGGCCGCGGGGGCGTTGACCCCCGGAACTCGTCATATTTGTCCAGTAGCTGGGACAGGCAGTTCAAAGATTTTTACGACATGGGATGTTAACGATATCAGTTCTTTGCTATTGATTTACTGCCACTTTAGTGGAGTGGGTTTATGTCTGTTGTTAACAGCTGTGGGATGACCCCCGCGTCCATATTAATAAGGTACCAGTATAATTTATCAGGTTAAAGGCGGTTTTTTTTTTTAAGAAGATTTAGGATGTCTTGAGAGTGAAGAGAAAGTTCTGAGTAAGACAGGGGACGATGTCACTGTAACAGTGAAGACAGTACAACACTGTACCCAGGAAGTGTCGACCCAGTATACTGTCTAGTAAGTCTTAGATGACCCGCCTTTGGTCATCTGGCCGAGGTCTTCCGCTGGCTTACCGGTCCACCCCTTTAAAATTTATGGTCATGTAGAACCATTTTTGCCTTGTTTAGCAAGGTCACACAAAGATCATTACGCCCAGGTAGTCATATACTGGAACATACCCACTAACATGATAACCTCACGCGATAGAAGTCCTCGTTGTCAGATAACACATCTGATATCTTGACACTATAACCACACGTTACTCCAGCCAGATGAATGAACTCACTGATATGGAGTGAATATTTTATCTATGCACTGTACTGTGTAGATAAGCTATGTGAAGTATTTGTAATACAGGGAATTAATATTTGTAATGGGGAAAGAATGGTCAGTAGGGTCTGATAGAAAAAATTGTGGCCTTTGTAATGCTGTTATTTAGCTCTGTCGTCTTCCAAACAGTATTTATTTCTACCAGTACAAGATACAACTTACACAGACCATAGTTCACACCTATGACATATTATATAGAAAGTTCCTGGTTATGTAGAGCATTTCTGGTAACTTCTTTGTCCCCAGGATGCCACCCACACCAGTCCACTAACACCCAGGTACCTACTTACTGCTAGGTGAACAGTGACAGCAGGTGTAAGGTAACTTAGTACTAGAGGAAGAGAACACAAATTGGTAGTACAGTCAGTGGCCAGGCTTCAAACATTTTATTGTACAGTAATAATGTAACAGAGTACCTGCACATGTCGAAGCCAGTCAGAAGGTAGAGACAGAAAGGCAGGAGTATGATTTTTTATTAGCTAACACACAGGTCCCAATGGAAATAAGTCACATTGACTTTTTTGGGTCACCCCAGGTTCTCTCTATATATACTGCTAGTTATGATCTGTGTAACTGTATTTATGTATACCTGAATAAAGTTATTTACTCATAACTAACACCCAGTTATTTATTTCTAGGTGAAGTGACGACAGAAAACGGAGTGAGGAGCGTAAAAGAAAACGACTTCCCAGATGCAAGCAGTAACTAATTTGATAATTTAGACACATGGACAACTCTTGGGTATCTTTATTGAGGAAACGTTTTGCCACACAGTGGCTTCATCAGTCCATACAAAGAAGAAACTTGAAGAACAGGAGGAGAATGAGGTAATCAGTCCCTCAGCCTTGAGTCGATGTGTTCAGTCCATCAATCTTGAATAGAATACGGTATGAGCGGAGGAGCTTATAAACCGTAGGCAGGAGAGGTGCAGCAGTCGTAGGTGGTGTCACATTTGTTCAATGTGGAAGTAGGTCGTGCCCAAGGGTTAGGCAAATGAAGAATTCCCTTGGGCACGACCTACTTCCACACTGAACAAATGTGACACCACCTACAACTGCTGCACCTCTCCTGCTAACGGTTTATAAGCTGCTTCTCCGCTGATATGCCGTATTCTATTCAAGATTGATGGACTGACCACATCGACTCAAGGCTGAGGGACTGATTACCTCATTCTTCAAGTTTCTCCTTTGTATGGACTGATGAAGCCACTGTGTGGAGAAACATTTTCTCAATAAAGATACCCAAGTGTCTAAATTATCAACATGTCGGTTCTGTGAACCATTGATCTAAAATCCAGTAACTAATTTCTTTGAAGTGACAACAGAAAATGGAATGAGGAGAGTAAAAGAAAATGACTTCCTAGATATAAGAAATAATTAATGTGCAACATATTTCCCAGTGTCTATACACATAACTTCCATTAATTTCAATATAGAACATAAAATAAATAAAATTCTACCATTCATAATTGTTTTCATCCACCATGTAGATAGAAAGTTCATTAATGTGTCGTCAAACATTAATATTATTAGAATCAAAACTAGGATAAGGAGTGTATTCCTCTCAATATTCTTGTGTACCTTCAGAAAGATAATTAAAATAGGTACAGGATTGAATCTAAGGAATTGATGGCCAAGAAATATATAATAATTCTAAAATATAAGAAGTTGGTTTACCTACTTGAGGTATTGAAAAAGATTAATCTTGATCTCAAAAGACATTGGGACTGATTAAAAATAAATTCTAGCACAGTTGGTGGGGCTTATAAGGTTATATATATATTAGATACCTACCTACTTAGTAGGGTCTATTTTACAAAGCCTTAAATAGTAAACCTATAAAAGATTATTCATGATGGAGCACTACAACTTGAAATTATGTCAATTATGAATGGTTATATAAAGTGTGGCTGTTGATGGGTACACAAGATTATATAGGTAGTGGGTTCAAGGATATTGGAATAGTATAGAAGATTTCCAAGTAATGAATAATCGATATTGAGAAGAATAGAAGATAAGATGAGTACCATAGACTAGGATATTAAAACAGAGTATATTCATTTCCTTTTTAATTAATAAAGAAAAATATTAATGTCTCAACTTACATATACAATGGACCCTCGAATTTAGTTGTGCCTTTTCTTTATTCAAAACTATTTTTATTATCTATGAAATATATTTTTTGGGTGTCTGTAATGGTTTAATTGGATTTACATTATTATCAAAAAATATATTTTATAGATAATAAAAATAATTTTGCATACAGAAAAGGCACGACTAAATTCGAGGGTCCACCTTACATGGCTCCTCCCTAGGGTAAGAAAAGTGAACATTATATTTAAATCATATATTTTAACAGTGTTATAATACAAACATTAACAATATTCCTGACACTATATATCCCTCAGTCTACACTATCCTAAGGGAGATTTATTAATCTCGGACTCACCCTACCTATAATACATTTTGTGTGCGTCAACTGGCTGGATGATTGGGTTTAAAATCTATCTACTAGACCTGGGGGTCATTAAGGCTGCGTGTCACCACCAGTCAAGAATATTTTAATACATAAAAGTGATTAACGTACACTATCAGTGTATATACACCGCTATGTACATATATTTACAATGAAGTATACAATATTCGGTGTATATCCACATCTCTAAGTATATATGTTCTATAAATCACTTGGTATTAACCATATTGGTTAATATACAGATATAACTGATCTCCAGTACTAAAGATTTTTAAGAGACGCGAGTTATGAATCGTGGTTGACAATCTTACCCGGAGTTCCGCAAGGTTACCTTCCTGGAGAGAGTTCCGGGGGTCAACGCCCCCGTCTGTGACCAGGCCTCCTTAGGTCAGTGTCCCAGGATTCGACTAACACCCAGGTACCCATTTTACTGATGGGGAACATAGACAACAGGTGGAAAGAAACACGTCCAATGTTTCTACTCTGGCTGGGAATCGAACCCAGGCCCTCGTCGTGTGAAGCGAGAGCGTTAACCACCAGAGCCACTCCTAACTTTGTTACCTACTACATCACGTCTCTTTATGGAAACAAATGGTTGAAAATATAAACATATGCAGTATAATGTGATCCTTATTGACAATATTTCGCCCACACAGTGGGCTTTTTGAAGTCACAAACAGATCTGTTTTTGACTTGAAAAAGTCCATTGTGTGGGCGAAACGTTGTCAATAAAGGATTACATTATACTGCATGTGTGTTTATATTTCCACGTCTCTTTATATTATACAAACGAAGAGCTAAATTGGTATGGGCCGTGTTCTGGGGGTCAACGCCCCCGCGGCCCGGTCGCTGGCCACACAGGAACTGATAATAAACAGTGATGGAAATGGATAAATCTAATATCTGTAACAGAGACTAGGGAAACTAATGACCATCACCTCAGTATTTAGAAAGACGCTTACTCAACTCTGACCTTCCATAAGAGATATTAACTAAAAATCACTAATCTGGAGTAGAAACATCCACAAAATCCAATAGTTTAAGCAACTTCTGTAATTATCAGTCTAATAGTTATGACGCTACACCAAACGTTTCATGATTCTTACGTAAACATGAACAAATATATATTGTCGTGCCCAATAAGTAGTACTTGCGATTTTGGCTTAATTAGCAACGCTCTTCTCTATGTATAAAATTCTAGAAAGGCCTTAATTTGAAATGAGTTGAGGTTTATCATATTTCAATCTGTAAAGCATTTGATCATGTTCCTCTAGACAGGGACAAAACGTTCTCCAAACCAAAGCTTACCCTACACATTTCGACCTTGAAATTCACAACCCGAAAAAGTTGGGTTAATCCACAGGAATCCAACCTAAGTGGCTTACTAGTTTATACCAAGTACACACAGCAATCATAACGCGAGTATACACACAGTCTACATTACTCATAACAGAAGGGGATAGAGGAGAAAGGCAGAATGGGAGACTTGGACTCGATATCGATAGCTGTTTGTAAGCACTTGCTTGATGCTTCTAGCTGACCCAGACTCACAAGAACTTCGCCAAGAGTCTCCCTGGAAAGTAAAAAAAATAGATTAGTTATACCTGTAATTGAGAATAGTCGTTGTTTATATTACAACAGTGACTGTGTCAAACAAGTTTTGGGCAAAAATAACAGGAACACCTGTTGGCTGAACTGTCCAATGACTGAGTAATTATGTTACAGGTCCCTTTCTGCATTATCTTCCGCTAGAGTTCTTCAAAACTGACATGTCGGTCAAGAGGAACACTGGGGCTGGTCCTACAGTCACAGGATCTAAATATTATCGAACATCTGTGGGGTCAATTGGACCAGCAAGTCAGCAACTGATTTCTACCAGTACAAGATACAACTTATACAGACCATAGCTGACACCAATGACATACTATATAGAAAGTTCCTGGTTATGTAGAGCATTTCTGGCAACTTAAGTCAATTTTAGCCCCAGATACCTACTTACAGCAGATGTCTTAAGGAAACACGTCCTAATGTTTCCACCCGTATCAGTGATCGAACCCCGGACTTCAGTGTATGAGCCGAACGTGCTATCAACCCATCAACGGGAGAGTTAGAACAGGATTTGGCGTGAGGGATAGCTCAAAATTCCCCTGGATACTGTTCATATTCTGCATGAATTAATTCCTCGACAAACTGGTGCTGTTTTGCCAGAAATGGACAAACAACACTGTCTTCACGTTATTTTTATAATCACTGTATATTCATGTTATGTCCGACCCCCGTGCGTGTTCATTCTTGTTCAAGCGGGAGTTAGCTTGCAGGAAGTGTGTATACAAGACAGTTCTCATGACACTGACGTCCTTCAGAGTGCAGGTACTGTGCCTCACACGTCCTTCAGAGTGCAGGTACTGTACCTCACACGTCCTTCAGAGTGCAGGTACTGTACCTCACACGTCCTTCAGAGTGCAGGTACTGTAACTCACACGTCCTTCAGAGTGCAGGTACTGTACCTCACACGTCCTTCAGAGTGCAGGTACTGTACCTCACACGTCCTTCAGAGTGCAGGTACTGTAATTCCCACCTGAACACCAGCAGTGTTACTACACTGTTCTATATGATAGTTACATTGTGGGAACACCAGCAGTGTTACTACACTGTTCTATATGATAGTTACATTGTGGGAACACCAGCAGTGTTGCTACACTGTTCTATATGATAGTTACATTGTGGGAACACCCACACTGTGTTACTACACTGTTCTATATGATAGTTACATTGTGGGAACTCACACAGTGTTGCTACACTGTTCTATATGATAGTTACATTGTGGGAACACCCACACAGTGTTGCTACACTGTTCTATATGATAGTTACATTGTGGGAACACCCACACTGTGTTACTACACTGTTCTATATGATAGTTACATTGTGGGAACTCACACAGTGTTGCTACACTGTTCTATATGATAGTTACATTGTGGGAACACCCACACAGTGTTGCTACACTGTTCTATATGATAGTTACATTGTGGGAACTCACAGTGTTGCTACACTGTTCTATATGATAGTTACATTGTGGGAACACCCACACAGTGTTGCTACACTGTTCTATATGATAGTTACATTGTGGGAACACCCACACTGTGTTACTACACTGTTCTATATGATAGTTACATTGTGGGAACACCCACACTGTGTTACTACACTGTTCTATATGATAGTTACATTGTGGGAACACCCACACTGTGTTGCTACACTGTTCTATATGATAGTTACATTGTGGGAACACCCACACAGTGTTACTACACTGTTCTATATGATAGTTACATTGTGGGAACACCCACACAGTGTTGCTACACTGTTCTATATGATAGTTACATTGTGGGAACACCCACACTGTTACTACACTGTTCTATATGATAGTTACATTGTGGGAACACCCACACTGTGTTGCTACACTGTTCTATATGATAGTTACATTGTGGGAACACCCACACTGTGTTACTACACTGTTCTATATGATAGTTACATTGTGGGAACACCCACACTGTGTTACTACACTGTTCTATATGATAGTTACATTGTGGGAACACCCACACTGTGTTGCTACACTGTTCTATATGATAGTTACATTGTGGGAACACCCACACTGTGTTACTACACTGTTCTATATGATAGTTACATTGTGGGAACACCCACACTGTGTTGCTACACTGTTCTATATGATAGTTACATTGTGGGAACACCCACACTGTGTTACTACACTGTTCTATATGATAGTTACATTGTGGGAACACCCACACAGTGTTACTACACTGTTCTATATGATAGTTACATTGTGGGAACACCCACACAGTGTTGCTACACTGTTCTATATGATAGTTACATTGTGGGAACACCTACACTGTTCTATATGATAGTTACATTGTGGGAACACCCACACTGTGTTGCTACACTGTTCTATATGATAGTTACATTGTGGGAACACCCACACTGTGTTACTACACTGTTCTATATGATAGTTACATTGTGGGAACACCCACACTGTGTTACTACACTGTTCTATATGATAGTTACATTGTGGGAACACCCACACTGTGTTACTACACTGTTCTATATGATAGTTACATTGTGGGAACACCCACACTGTGTTGCTACACTGTTCTATATGATAGTTACATTGTGGGAACACCCACACTGTGTTACTACACTGTTCTATATGATAGTTACATTGTGGGAACACCCACACTGTGTTGCTACACTGTTCTATATGATAGTTACATTGTGGGAACACCCACACTGTGTTGCTACACTGTTCTATATGCTAGTTACATTAATATCGTTTAAACACGAGAGAGTCAGAGTGTAACTCACATGTTTCGTCTCAAAATAGCTATGGTGCGTGTCTAGAGAAAATATAAAGTTTTGTGGATGACGCCGCTTGTACAGAGCTATATTTCTCTCTCTCTGGGTGATATTTAGCTAAATCAGAACTGGAGGAAGATGTGGAGTTGTACAGGTGTGTGTGTACACTCGTATATTTGTGGCTGCAGCTGAGTCACAGCTCTTGGCCCCGCCTCTTCACTGGTCGCTACTAGGTCCATTTCCTGTTCAATGAGAGTTATCATTCCTTTTCTTAAAGCTATGTATGAGTTCTGCCTCCATTGTGTGTGTGAGAGGGAAACAGAAATTGCACTGAGGAAAGAGTGAGGTTGGCAGCAGAAAGAGCCAAGGTTGACCACTGGACCTCTGGCACTCAAGGATACACACCAGCTTGCGTGTCTAGGTCCAAACTAATCACTCACGAAATACCTTGCTAAATATATCTCGCTAACTCTTCCCAGTGTTCACAATCACGTGTATTTAAAACCTCACTGCCATCCGGTTATAACTTTTGTATCAGAGAACATCTATCAAGCTGGTTCCATCACTGGAGAGGGTACAGAGAACAGCTATCAAGCTGGTTCCATCACTGGAGAGGGTACAGAGAACAGCTATCAAGCTGGTTCCATCACTGGAGAGGGTACAGAGAACAGCTATCAAGCTGGTTCCATCACTGGAGAGGGTACAGAGAATAGCTATCAAGCTGGTTCCATCACTGGAGAGGGTACAGAGAACAGCTATCAAGCTGGTTCCATCACTGGAGAGGGTACAGAGAACAGCTATCAAGCTGGTTCCATCACTGGAGAGGGTACAGAGAACAGCTATCAAGCTGGTTCCATCACTGGAGAGGGTACAGAGAACAGCTATCAAGCTGGTTCCATCACTGGAGAGGGTACAGAGAACATCTATCAAGCTGGTTCCATCACTGGAGAGGGTACAGAGAACAGCTATCAAGCTGGTTCCATCACTGGAGAGGGTACAGAGAACAGCTATCAAGCTGGTTCCATCACTGGAGAGGGTACAGAGAACAGCTATCAAGCTGGTTCCATCACTGGAGAGGGTACAGAGAACAGCTATCAAGCTGGTTCCATCACTGGAGAGGGTACAGTGATCTAGTACCATCACTGGAACAGAACCAGCAGAGGGAAGAGAGAAAGTCGTGGCATTTGGCTCTCCTCCAGGCAATTTAACCTCAGTCATTCATCTCCTTACTGAAGGTCACCATCTGATGGTGCCAGATGACCACCACCATCATTCTATGGTGCCACATGACCACCACCATCATTCTGTGGTGTCACATGACCACCACCACCATCATTCTACGGTGTCACTTGACCACCATCATTCTATGGTGCCACATGACCACCATCATTCTATGGTGCCACATGACCACCATCATTCTATGGTGCCACATGACCACCATTATTCTCAACCTTGAAGGATACGATGTTTAATGTCTAGAAACAATTAACCGAGGCCTTTGAGGTTACTGAAGCAATTCCCGGAACCTTGCAACGATACATGCAACGCACCAGAGGACTCCTTGCAACGACGTGGGTTGCAGGAACATTTTCCCTGGTACAGTACACCAGCTTTGAAAGTTTGAACCCGATCGGGTGAGGCGTTCTCTAGATATTTAAGAAATCTATGGAAGACTAGCCTTCAGGGAAACTTCATACCCATCCTATGGATGGTAGTGGCTAGTTTGTGCACCTCATATTCATCCTGTGGATGGTAGTGGCTAGTTTGTGCACCTCATATCCATCCTATGGATGGTAGTGGCTAGTTTGTGCACCTCATATTCATCCTATGGATGGTAGTGGCTAGTTTGTGCACCTCATATCCATCCTATGGATGGGTGTGGCTAGTTTGTGCACCTCATATTCATCCTATGGAAAAGCAAGAGCACAGGGATACACAATAGGCCTAGAAACTAGGCCCACAAAACACAATACCTACAATTACGCCTACTCTATTTATTGTCCACTAGCACTAATAACTGTACTATGGTCTAATGCGAGCTCAAGCCACCTTCCTTCAATCACCAATCCATTTTCAACTAGTTAGGCAGTTGGTAATGACCAATTGTCACCAAGACAACCTCATCTGGGTTATTTCCAGTGGTTTAATAACCCAGGGAAACCCAAACAAGCCAGGGAATGTGGTGGTAACATAACGACGCAGGGGAGATAG